CTACTGCTACTCCTCCTACTACGACTGCGACTACTACTGTTACTCCTCCTACTACGACTGCGACTACTACTGCTACTCCTCCTACTACTACAGCTACTACTACTCCTATGATGCCGTTGTTCTTCTTACGATGTTGGTCATGTTTGATCTCTCCGGTCCATTTCGCGCGAGAGCCAGGATGGACTACTGGACGATGCCCCTGCGGCAGCTCTCTGTCACTTGGCTGGTTAGCCCCCCTACTATATAGGGTACTAGAGCCCCTAGGGCCCCATATAGTAGGTACCTGGGAGGTTAGGGTAAGCTTGATCTTGTAGATACGATATATATATATATATATATATATATTCATAGACTCCGTAGATACTATTGTTGTGTCGCTGGAACCCCGGGGACTGCAGTAAAGACAGATACACCATAACGGGGCTGAAGTAGGGCGACAGCTAGTCGGCTACTCTGGGGTACCAATTCAGCTGCTTCTTCTGTCTGGCAAACTTGGCAAAGTGTAAACGGTAAGCAAACCAACCCATCTGCGGGGTAGGTCTTCTGCAACCTTACCACTCGTATCCATGGAGGTGAATCCGGGGCCAGTTGAGGAATCCAGGATAAATTGTTGGGGCTTTAGAGTTGGATTTGTGAAAGGACTACGCTTGTTTAGGACTGGCTTCTATGGCTAAGCCTGGGCTAAGCCTTCCAGCGCCAGAAGTCTGTGCCTAAGTGTCTGAAGTCTCGGAGACCGAAACCCCGAACTAGATCCCAACTTTAACATATGTGGAGCCGCGGGAAAGAGACGGTCTCCAGGCACTCGGAAGAAGTAAGACATTCCAGAATTCGAACCATGCTGCTGAGGCCTTTTCCAACAGATCCGTGTCCGAGGGCCCTAGCGGCCCCAACCGGGTCTGATCTGAAGCTGCAGCGACCTCAGGCAGGGGTTTAGAGGTCAGTGTCAGGTCTCTAAGACCCCGTGGAAGCACCTCCACTAACGTAGAAATGACGAGGGAGGCTTGCGCGGAAGGGCGATTGAGCATTTGTAGGTCGTTTCGGTGAACAACCACAGCTGATGCTGTACGGTCTCAGTGAAATGTTAATTAGCAGTAGCACTAGTTGTCTACCTTCATACCGGAGTCTTTGGGACTGGTTGAGCATTGACTCGCATAGTCTCAGCGCCCTTGCAAAACATAATGACATGATCTCCCATTGACAGAAATCAGGTGACGGCAACTCCGGAGATGTTTCACAATGTACAAATTTCATTGCAGGTCGAGACTGGGTGCCGGTAAGATTGCTACAACTTGCCGTAGCTTACTTCGATGGCCACTGTGCTTTTCTATGTGGCACTCACTCTTGCCGCGCCTTTTTCGGTACATTTTACAATACCATTTTCAGCTGCGTTTAGACAGCACCAGGCGAATGCGAACTCTCATCCGCGTTTGGCGCTGCTACTCAGAGCTCTAGGGATGTTGGTCGCGGACCAGCTTTAGGATTTTACAGACATCGAAGCCTACTTCGTGGCTCAATCATAGGCCGGTACAGGATTTCGGCCCCAGGCAAAAAGTCTCCGTGCGAGGGCCTCGCCAAGAGTCAGGGTGGACTTCGGTAGAACCTGGCAATACAGCGAGTCGTTCGTATTGACAGCCCAGGCTCGCTGCAATCGTCGGCGTTAGGCCGCACAAGCTAATTCCAAGAGGAGATTTGGAATTTTTGGCATCCCGCAGAATTCGTTGTTGCGGGCTCCATCGCTGGATAAGCGACATGAGCTAGGGGAACATGTTGGCAGCATCGCATCCCAGGTGTCGAATTGTTCGGAATGACATCTTCCTGTGGAGCGCTGATTGTGGTTGGATTCCTTGTAGCTCACCCTAACCCTCCAGGTACCTACTTCATAGGGCCCCAGGGGCTCTAGTACCCTATATAGTAGGTACCTGGCCCTGGGGGGTTAGGGTCTGCTATATAGGGTACTAGAGCCCCCCGGGCCCTATATAGTAGGTACCCGGAGAGTTAGGCATTGCCGACGAAGAAGTGTGACAGACAAAACTGTTTTTCCATGGCATGTGCGCCCCCTCCCATGCTTCCGTCTGCTGGCCCTGGTTGTCGCATGGTGGCAAGGGCACTCCCAGCCTGATTGCAGGAAGGCTTGTGCTGGATGTGCAGCGTAGGATTTGTGGTTGCATTTGCCATGTTGCTGTGTAGAACAAGTTGTGGAAAGCCTTGCTGAATTGGATCGTAAAAGTACACATGTATGCATCCTTTCATACATATCTACATACGTACCCGTGCGCGCGTGCCCGTGTGTGTGTGTGTCTGTGGGTATGCGTGCGTGCAAGCCCGAGTGTGTGCAGGTCGTACTGTCAGCATGGGTGTAAGACCGCGCACTTCAGATATTGTCTTTGTATCCTTTCTCGCATAAGATAGCAAGCATTATGCCGTACACCATGCAACACAACATGCACCGGCACATTGTGGTCAGTCTTTCACATATTTTACCACGTCAGGTAAGCCTCTTCCTGCCAGGTTTGACTACCAAGCTTTTGCTTACGTCCTAGTTTATGTCGTATGCAGGTATTTGCATCAGTTGTTGATCCGCTGACATGCTCGTCTGCAGGTCTTTAAGTCTTCGAGCGACATGGGTGGAGCTATAGGAGAGTGTTATGTTCATAACTTCATTTGAAGGTGTAGCTGACATGGCCTGTCAATGCCTGGGATGGTGCCACAATAGTCTGGCGGTTCAACATACGGAATCGCAGCGACAGTTTCTCACAGTAGGAGCATGTCAGCAAGTTTGGACATGGGACGTTCAGACAAACACCCAAGTGCGTGCCTGATACTTGACAATAACATTAGATGTACCGTGTCTATACATATATATATATATATACGCATATCTATGTCACATTCGCGCACACACAACCACTCGCGTGCATGTGTGCACGTCCTGACAGATAGATAGATGGATGGATGGGTACATAGATAGATAGATAGATAGATAGATAGATAGCACATTGGATAGGCAGATAGGCAGATAGATAGGTAGATACATAGACAGATAGATAGATAGATAGATAGATAGATAGATAGATACATAGATTGGAGAGGTAGATAGCAGATGGATAGGTAGACAGATAAATATGGTGTCTACATGTATGTCTATATATATATATGTTTATACTGTTATCTAGACATACTTTGGCGCAGCCTCTTTTTACACACTCGCACGAAGATCTTGTTATATTCATCTATAAGCAGGTACTACCTGGCTAGTTTGCACCTGCTGCACTTCGGCTCGAAAGGTTCTGAAAGATCTCTACAGCCCGACCTGAAAGCTCTAGTTTTGCGGAATCATGGCAACCACCAAGGCAGGGACCTGGCGACTGTGCATCAGGGTAACAGGGGGTTAGCGGACCTGCTGCTAGTTATTCTAATGTAGGCCCATCTTATAAGGGCTCTAGTGGTTTGGATTTTTTCGGTGCTTATAGGGTTTGAGGTTCAGGGATTCAGGGTTGGTGTTACAGAGGTGCCCAACCAAGAACAGACACTGTAATTACTTAGGGTTTAAGGATCACGACTCCCTTACATGCTTTCCCAGGAGCAACTAATTAAGTTCCAGGTTTCGAACTACCACAGGACGGCATCTTGATTTCCGAAAACTGATTCCGAAAACTGCAGCTCTCTATTTGTTCGGAGACGTGGATCATGCGTAGGCTTAGCACTTTGTGGTTCTTGTGTTGCCGCTGCTGCCAGGAAGAGGATGTCCAAATGATGCTCGTTCCTTTCCCGATTAAGATGCCCATGGCATGACTCTGGCAGTGTGCAGTGAAAGGGTCTGCGAGTTTGCCGATCCCATCGCTTTTACCTGCAGCCGAGGTTTGCAAGACCCACCTGGGCACTCGCAATGTTGACTTCCGCATGAAGCGCTACGTCTTCCGCCGCACGGTGGACGGTATCCACATCATCCACCTCGGAAAGACTTGGGAGAAGCCGCTTTGCTGATTTAGTTCGAGTTTAGCCTGTGTTGATCTTCGTCGGGGCATCCACCCCTTGCTGTTAATTACGAGCTATAGGGGCCTTGTTTCCACCTCCTGCTGCCGACTCCTGTTTCAAGTCCTCTTCTCGAGTGATGCCTTAGCCCGGGTATTGGCTTCAGAAGCGAATGCACAGGCTGATGGTGGCAGCCCGCATGATCGTTGCCATCGAGAACCCTCAGGACAACCGTCAGTCCTTGGAGGTTCATGGGTAGTTTTAAGTGAGGTTATAAGTAGGGTAACTGTAATTATAACCCATATTAGGGGACTTATAACTCCACTTATAACTGCCCATGAACCTCCAAGTACGACTGTAAATCCTGGCTGAGGCAGGCCTCGCCGAAAGCCTGTTGATTACCAGCAGAACGCACAACCAAATGATGCCAAGAAGCTTTCCGGCTGCGTGTGCAGAAGGGCTGGTGCAGCTCTCCAGCCCCTCCCCCCCGGTACGAACATATTAATGTCCCGCTCTCACTCCCTGTCTTTTCCATTCCTACGCTCCTACCTAGATCGTCGCTGCAGTGACACCCGGGATGCTGTCCAAAGTTTTGACGTCCTTTGGGACGCGAGTGTTGAATTCAGGACTCCTAATTAAAGAAGCCCCAGGGGCCCAAAACCTTAGCGAAGCCTCTATGAGGACATCATCGTGGCCTCCCAGCGACCCTACGGCTCTCGCGCCGTCCTCAAGTTCAGCCAGTCCGGGGCCTACTTTTCGCACTGGCCGGCTTCATCGCAGGCATTTCCCAAACCCTCCAGGTACCTACTATATAGGGCCCTAAGGGCTCTAGTACCCTATATAGTAGGTAGCTGGGGGGTTAGGGTTTGGGCCAAACCGATGCTGCCATGCAGTCGAACGGAGGTACACAGGCGCCAACCCCTTGGCTGGACGCTGGACTCCCGGCACCTTGACCAACCAGCCCCTCCGATGCAGAAAGCCCAGGCTTCCACCCTAAAGCCGCTGTCCTGCTGGGTTAAGGGTTTTGGGGTTTTGGGGGTTCGGGGTTTAGGGTTCCTGCCAGAAGGATTTTAACCAAGCGCTGCTCTTGTGCATCACAAGGATCACTCAGAAGTACTTGGAACCCCGCCTCCTCATTGTGACGGACTGCCTTTGGGCTGGGATTGGTGGGCTGGTCGGGAACTACTGTACTGGCCTTTCTCTCTGAGGCTACAAAAAAAGCCTCCCTGCCAGGACCCGCGCACGGACAACCAGGCTATCAAGGAGGCGGCATATGCCAGCATTCCGGTGCCTTGGAGAGTGTCTACTTGTCAGTGGCAATCGCATTGAGTGAGTGAGTGAAGTGGAAGTTCTCTTGCCCACAAGGTAATTACAGTGGTCCAGGGGTGTTAGGGGCTGTAGGGTTTAGGGTCCCGGCAAGATGAACTGAGGTTATTGCCCTCTGTGACACTGACTCTCCTTTGGAGAACGTGGACGTTGCCATCCCTGCCAACAACAAGGGCAAGGACAGAACCCTCCTTGGCAGGTATACCTTGGCATGTTGGTGTCGGGTGTTGCCTCGGCGTCTACAGATTCGGCATGTAAGGCATGTAAGTCGCAGCAGGAAATGTTTGCAGATATAGGTACAGATAGATATCGGGATGGTTAGATGGCTGAAGAGACAGAAAGACAGTCAAGTAGGTAGACAGACAGATAGACAGATAGACAAGCAGATAGATACGTTGATAGATCGTTGGATAGATAGATAGATAGATAGATAGATAGGTAGAGACAGATGGATCGATAGATCGATACATAGGGGGATGTTATGGAGACAAGTGTATATATGTATATATAAAACTCATATATATGTGTATATATAAAGGTATATGTATGTGCACGTGTGTATATATATATATGTACGTATAGATGGAGAGAGACAGAGACACAGAGAGAGAGAGAGATAGACATAGATAGATAGATAGATAGATAGATAGATAGATAGGTATGTCGATAGAAATGTCGATAGATATGTCGACAGATATGTAGATAGATATGTAGATAGATAGATAGATAGATAGATAGATAGATAGATAGATAGATAGATAGATAGATAGATCGATAGATAGATAGATGGACAGATCGATGGATGGATGGATGGATAGATAGATAGATAGATAGATAGA